CCACGTGTTATGTCCTCCTGGTCGATGACACGACATATCATACCTTCAGGTCAAGTTTCTACCAGGCCGTCCAAGGGCTCTAACTCGACCTTTCGGTGCCTATTTTTACCTCTAATGTCTTCCTCGACCTGAAGACTCCTAGTTCTAATGTTCAATCTTTGTTCGACCTATTTGTGTTTCTGTTCGACCAGTCGGTCCGTCCAGCTGGAAGTACTTGTCAGGTCATCATAATTGGCTTGAAAATGCATCATGTCATCTACACGTGTTAGTACCACTTACCAAAATTAGAATTTTCGGCGNCTATTCGCATACCCCCATCGCATAACTGAAATAACTGAAAGATGAAAGAAATAAAAAAATAAATAAAAAATACCCTTTCGAGTAGAAGTGCGAAGGGGGTATGCGAGCAATATGCGGTAATTCGATACCTCATCGCATAACTGAAATAACAGTAAGATGAAAGAAATAAAAAATAAACTTTCGAGTAGAAGTGCGAAGGTGGTATGCGAGTAATATGCAGCTATTCGCATACCCCATCGCATAGCTGAAATAACTGAAAGATGAAAGAAATAAAAAAATAAATAAAAAATACACTTTCGAGTAGAAGTGCGAAGGCGGTATGCTAGCAATATGCGGTAATTCGCATACTGCCTCGCATAACTGAAAGATGAAAGAAATACGAAAAAAACTTATTATGCACTAATTCCGCGAATAATATGCGACGTTGGCATGTCGCAGTTGTGTCGAAGAATAATTTTTCGACTAATAGTCGCAGTTCATTCGCCTAACAAAAATAATTATTTAATGGGCGACGGACCGCGATTGACCGAATCGTACATCGAATCTCCGAATATTCATCGTAGAACAGTCGCATAATTTAACTCATAATTTTCTCGCCCATGCTCATACCTGTCGTCTATTTAGCGCATGTTTCATCGCATATGTCTTCGTACTTTTTGGGGTGAAAAACTTAGCTTTTTATTGGGTGGTGTGAAAAACTTAGTGTGACTTCAGAACGGGGTGAAAATAGCTATTTCCTCTATATAATTCTCGAATGCGCTGAGCTTACGTGGCTGCTTGTGGTATTTCAGAATCTTACTTGACGAAGAATCATGCTTCGTAATTAGGCTTGGACAAATAATATTGATATATTAATAATTCATACTCTAGGTTCGGACATTCCATAAATATTATTTAGCTAACTTAGGTATTTTAATATGACTTGTACTAATATAACCTTTTAATTCTTTGTAATTTTACATAGTGAGGCACTAAGTGACTAATATATTCCTGACTTTTTGATTTGTTTCCTTCAATTAATTATTGAATTACAAATGTATTTTAAAAGTTGATAACTTTTGTATTTCTTTTCGATTTTATATATATAAT